ACTTAAAATCTTCAGAATTTTACTGTGAGATATCGTAAAAATTCTGGTAAGAGTTAAAATTATGAGATCCGATGAAATTAACAGTAAGATTGCAGTTTCTATTTTCTGTTGGTGCACCTCTTTTTCTTTGGATGTATTATATTCTTCTATCACATTTATGTTTCAGTATAGAATATATACTTTGTTTTTGCCAATACTGACTAATGATAGGTCATTTGAAATTCTGATTAATTGTGTGTGCCACTTTCAGCACTCTTCTATATCATGTTGGCAATTTGTTTTTTTAAAGAACCAAAGTATCCAGAGCAAATCAGCTACCTTTGTATTAAAAACAAGAGACTCTCAAGAGCCTGAATCGCTCATCTGTAATTTTTCGCTTAAATCTTTCATCAATGATTATTTATGCTTTTTAATATAATTATATTAATGAGTGGCTTAAAAATTCCATTGAGATTTTCTATGTATCTGTCATATTTTCTTCAAAAGCAAAGAAATAAGTTTTACCCCTATGTTCCATTTTAGCCATAGTGGCTTTGTTTCTTGATGTACAAGAAAATAAAATAAAAAATTTGTACTAGATACTTTGAAACTCATTCAGCCCAAGTTTGGCTGAAATTGATTCAGCAGTTTCAAAGGAGAAGATTTTTTAAAGTTAGCAAACTGTGAAAAATTGTCTTTAAAGGGCAATAACTCCTTAAGGACACATTTGACAATTTTGGTCATATTAACTTTTTTGTAGATCTTACTTTGCCTAACATTTTTGCTGTTCACAGTTTATCTTTTTCACTAATAATATTCAAGATAATAACCAAAAACTGCATAATCCTTAAAATTACCAATTTAGTGGCAGCAATCCAACAATGGACAGTTAGATTCATCTGAAAATTTCATGGCTGATACAACTTGGCCTAATGAACATTTTTATCTCTCATCAGATTTGCTCTAAGTGTTTGAGATATATAAGCCAAAAACTGCATTTTACCCTTATGTTCTAATTTTAGCCATGGCGGCCATGTTTTTTGACGAAACAGAAAACAAAACATAAACTTTATTTTAAGAATCATTCAGCTTAAGTTTGGTTGGAATTGGTTCAGTGGTTTCAGAGGAGAAGATTTTTAAAGTTAGAAAACATGATAAACAAATTGTGTAAAATTGCCCTCAAAGGGCAATACTCCTTAAAGAGTCAATTGACAATTTTGGTCATATTAACTTATTTGTAGATCTTACTTTGCTGAACATATTTGCTGTTTACAGTTTATCTTTATCATTAAATTAAATACTATTCAAGATAATAACCAAAAACTGCAAAATTTCCTTTAAATTACCAATTAAGTGGCAGCAACCCAACATCTGAAATTTTCAGGGCTGATAGAACTTCACCTAATGAACACTTATACCCCTGTCAGATTTGTTCTAACTCCTTTGGTTTTTTAGATATAATCCAAAAACTGCATTTTACCCTTATGTTCTAATTTTAGCCATGGCGGCCATGTTTTTTGACGAAACAGTAAATAAAACACAATCTTTATTCTAGATACCCTAAGGATCATTCAGCTTAAATTTGGTTTAAATTGGTTCAGTAGTTTCAGAGAAGAAGATTTTTTAGTTAGAAAACATGATAAGCAAATTGTGTAAAATTGTCCTTAAAGGGCAATACTCCTTAAAGGGTCAATTGACAATTTTGGTCATATTAACTTATTTGAAAATCTTACTTTGCCGAACATATTTGCTGTTTACAGTTTATCTTTATCATTAATACTATTCAAGATATTGCAAAATTTCCTTAAAATTACAAATTAAGTGGCAGCAACCCAACAATGGGTTATTATATTCATCCGAAAATTTCAGGGCTGATAGAACTTTACCTTCTGAACACTTTTACTCGATGTCAGATTTGCTCTTACTGCTTTGGTTTTTGAGATATAAGCCAAAAACTGCATTTTACCCCTATGTTCTATGTTTAGCCATGGCGGCCATGTTTTTTGACGAAACACAAAATAAAACACAAACTTCATTTTAGATACCCTAAGGATCATTCAGCTTAAGTGTGGTTGAAATTGGTTCAGTAGTTTCAGAGAAGAAGATGTTTGAAATAGTTTACATCAGACGGACGACGACGACGACGGACGACGACGGACGACGACGGACGACGACGGACGCCAAGTGATGGCTAAAGCTCACAGTTCCTTCGGAACGGTGAGCTAAAAACTGGTTATTCTTTTCAGAAGGAGAAGATTTTTTAAAGTTAGCAAACTGTGAAAAATTGTCTTTAAAGGGCAATAACTCCTTAAGGACACATTTGACAATTTTGGTCATATTAACTTATTTGTAGATCTTACTTTGCTGAACATTTTTGCTGGAGAAGTAAACATGTGCTTTATAATAGGTTACTGTAACACACTTAGATGATATTTACTGTAGTAAGAGTTTGATCGGCAAATTTTATTAATGTTCAAGTATGACATATAAGCTCTTTACTTTTTAGCTTAAATCATCATTTTTAATATATTCATATCATGGACATACATGATATTTTCATATCCATATGTATTAAGTAATTTTTAACAGTTAACAGACAAAATACAAATGGACATTGAAAATTCTTATCTTCAAGAAAATATTTGCAATTTACATATTTGTCAGCTACCTTTAATATACATGTAAATGTATACAATTTTCAAAATAACCTATTAATTTAGAATTAAGGCAAAATTTGACATTAGGGACAATAACTCTTACACTAGTAAGCATATTATCATATACTGAATTACCAATCATTGTCTTAATAACAGAGCATGTTTATATTTCAAATATACAATGTTACTTTATCTATTCTAGTTTTCAAGAAAGAAATTATGATCTTTTTAAAGCAAAGGCAGACATGTTTTGACTATAATGAGTCGAAACTGAAAATTGTAGCTTTTTTTACCTTCTAATTAAATCATAGAATTTGACAAAAATAAACCAAATTACCTAATAACCTGGATTTTGTAATATCAATATAAAATTGAGACAGCTGTAGAGTTGTATGAAAATGCAAGTTGATTTGGAAAAGTTATTCAAATTTTAAAGGTGACTATCTGAAGTAGCCTAAACTGAAAATTCTAGCTTTTTATACGTATTAATTAAATCAATAAATTTGAAAGCAATAAATTAAGCTACCAAATGTCGTTTTGTAAGATCAATATAAATACAACTACAAAACAACCTGGCATTCTGTTAAATCAATATATAATTGAGAATGCTGTAGAGTTAAATGAAAATCCAAGTTGATTTGAAAAATGTATAGAAATTTTTAAAGGTCACTATCTGAATTTAGTCAAAGATTTTTTCACCTATCAATTATTTCCTTAAAATTGACAGCAATGAACCGAACTATGAGATAACCTGGAATTTTGTAAGATCAATATATAATTGAGATAGATTGGCTGATTCAGACCAATCGAAACTTACATAAAAAGTCAGGACAGGTTGAGACTGGCCGAGACTGGTCAAGAGACAAAACTGCGTCAAGACTGGACGAGCATTTTGTTGAGACCATATTCTGATTATACCAAGATAATCAAGTACTCAATTAAACTTATAAAGTTAAGTTGAGACTAAGTTTAAGTACAGTTGAGATTACGTCGAGTTATGTCAAATCTCATTCACGGTGCTCGACCAGTCACAATTATATGGTTTTTCAGTCTCTCTGCAGTTTGCAGTGTTACTGTAATAGGAAACATTCTTTTTTTTCCATGCAAGTTATAGGACATTGAGTTTTTACAGCCCATATCAGAATAGGACATTCAATTTTTTTTTTTTATCTTTAACTAAATTTGCACCGGTCCCACCTGCCTGATAAATATTGCACGGTTCCTAAATGAGACTCGTGCATCATAACTGGAAAAAGAACAAAATCCGAAAGGAGCAATCAAACTCATAAGCCGAGATTAAGACAAATAAGATAACTTCTGGTCAGTATTATCAGGCTACAGTACATACCTGGACATAGTCTGATTAATCATCAGCATCCCCTATGTCTGACATAGGATTTCAGGCATTTATTGGGGGTCATAAACCATGGACTGATAGGGAAGTGAAATATTGCAATTTGCTGGGCCAATTAACAGGTGGTCATCTAATTGTGTAATTTTACTGCCACAGATTGACAATTTTTGTTTTATATTTTGTACCTGCAAAGGTTCATATTTACCTTTGTTTTACAGGTGAACTTTGGATAAGAAAAATAAATAAAACAGGAAATGACAATATGTCTTTTGTATAATAATGGAAGATTCGAATAAAGTGTACATGTTCAAAAATTATATGATCTAAATCAAAAGTAAATGCAATCTTTATTTAATTATTATTCATTATTATAATAAATGCTGAAAATTATAATCAATTAAATTATATTCATTTTGTAAAAAAATCAAATAGAAATGCCATGGTTGAAGGTTATAAGAAAAATAAATTTTATAAAATAAAGAAAAAAAAAACATTTGTTGTTGTACAGTGTGACAAAATTTGCAATTTCAGTTATCCCTTTTTATTTCAAAATTAAAATAAATCACATGAAAAATAATAAAATTAGAAGTCAAGTCTAGATATATTTTTCATTATTTCACATTTGTTTTATTTACATCTTTTTCTTCGCTGTTTAAGATTATTAGTTTAACAAATGTAGGACAGAAAGCCACAAGACAAACACTCTCATCTCTGTTTTGTGATACTTTTTCTTTAACAAACAAAAGATGTATGTTCCAAATTATTTTTTAAATTTTCTTGTATAATAATACATTTTTTTCAATTTTGTTTATTATTGTAAAAAAAAAAATAATGGTCACACCATTGTTATGAAAACAGACTGTCATAAAGTATTTGCTTCTTGATGTCTATGGATATTAAAATTTGATAGTTATTCATTTGATAATGATATGAAATGAACAATTTCCAACAATGAACCATTTTCATAAAAAAAATTATTTGAATGATTTCCTCTTTCGTGTTCAACATGTTCAAACAATAGTTAGCCAATTATCTGTGACTTTTGTCTCATCATAAACTGTAGTTTAATTAAATACTGTATTTTTATATAAGATTAAAACAGGTCAATGAATGAAACAAATGTCCAGTAAAATTAAAGATTCAGATTCAATATTTTATTAAAGTCTCACCACTTGTAATACATGTAATACAATCATCATAATATATACATTGAATAGAACAGTCATTTTATAAATTAAAATACAAGTGCCAGAAAATTAAGTCTTGAAGTAAAACATAAAAATGATTAACATATATAGATTACCAATAATATTGTAACTAATATACTTTAATTGTTTCAAATTCATTTCCATAGATTTTACCTGTAATTTTATGTTTTTAAATCCCTGTTGTAACTTCATTATCCTTTAATGAATACCTGACAATTTATTACCCTTGAATCATAACAGGTGGTCTGATCATGGACCTTAATGCCCAGCATCTCAGACCTACAAAAAATACTCAGCATAATTAGTTATCATAGGTACCAGGATTATAATTCAATACGCCAGACGCGGTTTCGTCTACATAAACTCATCAGTGACGTGCAGATCAAAATAGTTATAAAGCCAAACAAGTACAAAATTGAGGAGTATTGAGGACCCAAAATTCCAAAAAGTTGTGCCAAATACGGCTAAGGTAATCTATTCCTTGGATAAAAAATCCTTAGTTTTTCGAAAAATTTTGGTTTGTAACAGGAAATTTATAAAAATGACCACATAATTGATATTCATGTCAACACCGAGGTGCTGACTACTGGGCTGGTGATACCCTCGGGGACGAAACGTCCACCAGCAGTGGCATCGACCCAGTGGTGTAAATAGTTATCAAAGGTACCAGGATTATAATTTAATACGCCAGACGCGCGTTTCGTCTACATAAGACTCATCAGACTATGTCCCAGCATGTTCTGTAGTCATACAGAAGTTTAATTACTGAGATGACCCGGATAAACCGGTAGAATGGGTGAATACAAATGATCTAACGCGTCAAAAGTTCTCGCTTCATTAAATGAATCTTTGGTTACAACACACAGTATCCTTGCACTTCCCAGTAACAGTCTAGTTCTAGATGGTTTATATAAAAACCAAATTCTAGAAAACACAAGAGTGCACACACTGAAATGTCTCGCCTTCTTTACTAATTATTGATACTATGTTGATAGTCCTAAATATAAAGCTTTATTACAACTGTCACATAAACTTAACATTAACCAAGAAAACTAAACATTGACCGATGAACCATGCAAATGAGGTCAAGGTCGGATGAACCATGCCAGACAGACATGTACAGCTAACAATTCTTCCATACAACAAATATAGTTTACCTATTGCTTATGAATAAAGATAAATAGACCAAAACACAAAAAATTAACACTGAGCAATGAACCATGAAAATGAGGTCAAGATCAAATAAAACCTGCAGGACTGACATATAGATCATAAAATATTTCCATACACCAAATATAGTTGACCTATTGCATATAGTATTAGAAAAAAAGACCAAAACTCAAAAACTTAACTTTGACCACTGAACCATGAAAATGAGGTCAAGGTCAGATGACACCTGCCAGCTAGACATGTACACCTTACAATTATTCCATACACCAAATATAGTAGACCTATTGCATACAGTATAAGAAAAACAGACCAAAACACAAATACTTAACTATTACCACTGAACCATGAAAATGAGGTCAAGGTCAGATGACACCTACCAGTTGGACATGTACACCTTACAGTCCTTCCATACACCGAATATACTAGACCTATTGCTTATAGTATCTGAGATATGGACTTGACCACCAAAACTTAACCTTGTTCACTGATCCATGAAATGAGGTCGAGGTCAAGTGAAAACTGTCTGACGGACATGAGGACCTTGCAAGGTACGCACATACCAAATATAGTTATCCTATTACTTCTAATAAGAGAGAATGTAACATTACAAAAAATCTTAACTTTTTTTTCAAGTAGTCACTGAACCATGAAAATGAGGTCAAGGACATTGGACATGTGACTGACGGAAACTTCGTAACATGAGGCATCTATATACAAAGTATGAAGCATCCAGGTCTCCTACCTTCTAAAATATAAAGCTTTCAAGAAGTAAGCTAACGCCGCCACCGCCGCCGCCGCCGCCGGATCACTATCCTGAAGCCGAGCTTTCTGCAACAAAAGTAGCAGGCTCGACAAAAAAATCCACTTGAGCGAAACACATGTCTGTAAAATATGTTTAACGTCCTTTTACCAGTAGTTCAACTGAATGCACAAATATCACAACGAATTCAATAATGAAAGTCTCTTTACAGAAGTATTAGAAATGTGATCCGGATTAATTGCAACTGACCGTATGAATGCTTGTCGAGCGGATGCAGTGTCCCCTAATAACTGGAAAGCAACACCAAGAAGTGTGTAGGCTCTAGCTTTTATCACATTTTTTTTGGTGAAATAACTTTCTGATATAACCAGTTGAAAATCCTGCAGGAAAATCTTACATTGTCTGATATTATTGAGACGAAAATGGCAAAGAAAATTTAGAAAATAAGCACACGCTATTGACGAAATAACACAATTTGAATTTTCTACTTCCTTTTGTAGTTCATCTGGTATTAACTAAGACTTGCTTCCAAATTTTATGTCATCTACAAGCATTATTTTCCATAATCCAACAATACTTATCTTCTGGATTAATTTTAGGTTGAGCTATCGGTAATAAATATCCGAAAAATCTATGAATCGGTACAGTTTTTCGGGAGTACATTTCGATAAAGAATACTTGATGATGTGTAATGACTTATTGTATTGTTTTGTCTTATAGAAAAGCGAAGCTAACATTAGCCATCCAGAGACAGCGTCATGATGATTATTTTGTAGCAGAATACAAAGACAGGAATTATACTGTTTGTATTGGTGTTTTTTACTACTTATCGTACTGTGCAATGGAATAGTCTGCGAATGTTTTTGACACCACAATGACAAGTAGTATGTATATATATGTATTTATTAAGTGATGATTGGTAACAGGAAACTATCTGGTGTATTCCTCTTTTGTATGTATTAGTGTTCCATTTGATGACAAAAGACGAAATATTTGCCCAACAGAATAAGACGGAATAACTTGTTTTTCCAACCTCGATAGTATGCAATGTATGTGCTTCGATGTGATCCATCCACATTGATACACGAAAGTTAGATAATTGAGCTGAAAATAATATGCATCGCCATCCGCAACTATGCAGGGTATAAAGTTTCTCTAACAGTATTTCGCGAGCGCGTCCCTCTATTTTGTTCTCAAACATGTTGTTCTCTGGAATGAAGTAATGTAAACAAACTGAATAGTCAACAGAATATATCAGTCTGCGAAAACATCGCATGAAACAATGTATAAGATTTTCTGGTTTCCATATTGATTGTGGTAATTCCTCTGATATCCAGAAAATAATTGTTTTCAAGAAATATGAACATAGTAAATTTTCACATTCGGTGTAGATTCCTATTATATCTTTCAAAAGAATTTTCTGTAGGGCATATCATATTAATTGAGTGTGTGTTAAAGTATTTATTAGAAATTTTTCACCAACAGAAAAAGAAATACGCCATTCTATATCCTCTTTTGGTGATCCCTTAACTCCTATTGGTACAAAAAGTACTCCGTGCTTTAAAATACTTTGTTTGACATTATAACTTGGCCATGAGTTATTGGATCTTGTTATCCACTGTGATGCTTGTGATATCCATGTTGTACAATGTAAGCACATGGCATGGTCAAACGTCCCTTCTTTGTCAGATATACATGGCTCATGAACTACTCTTTCTGTATTACCCAAGAGCGGTTGTTTATATAATGCGCTAGAGAAATATTGTTTTCCATTAAGTTCCTCAAAGAACTTCCATAGAAATTGACGATTCATTTGTTCTACATGTTCAAATATATGAAATTTGAATTGTAATTCGTTTGAATGTTTTCATAAACCTCCATTTCTTTACTTACATACATTATATCCAAATCACTTCCTCTCATCTCAAGTTCTTCACCAGAACTTCCACTTGTGATACAGGTTAAAATATTGTTGTTGTTCATATTATCCCTGACTGTATTCGTCAGTCTTAGTGTTTTAACATGATTCTTTGTTCCAACTATGTTCTGACACATATAACGATACAATGCTAATGATATGGTTTTTGTTTCTATGTCTGAAATAAACATGAAATCAATAAAATGATATTTATCATAGGGAATGAAATACTTTGTTCACCATATTGATGTTAACATAGAACTACTATTGCAATTAACCTTCAATGAGTTGTTACAATCTCAATTTATCTTAAAATGGCTGAGTTTTTGCTTTGACTCTGTTGATTGTAATAACAAATTGCTTTAAACCATTTCAAAAGAAAGGAAGAAGATACTGAAGGAATAGTCAAACTCACAAGTCGAAGATAAACTGACAACGCCAAGGGAAAAAACACTTGAAAAGCGATCAATAAACAAACAATAGCCTATACAAAGTACGACATATACACTTAATCCTGAGCAACACACACCAAAACATCATTTTGGGGGTTCTCAGGTGCTCCAGTAGGATAGGTATATCTTGCTGGCACCCGTTAAGCCATTTAAAAGTTGACTTTATTAATTTTTCGAACAATTTTTTATTTCATAACGTATCATAAGGGTAATTAATGTGAACAAATAAATGTTTGAGAGATTCTTAATACATGTATATTATATATGTGGAAATAAATATAACAGAAACATTTTTGATTGTACTACTAGTACACAAGAAGTGCTTGCATAGTTTTCGAATAAACTCTTATGAAAAAATTAATGGAAACATCACAATATATATGATCAATTCGCAATGATAATTTGTGATACTGATTAAATGTTAAAATTCGATACATACCGACTGGCTAATAAAACTCATTTTTAGGAGTTACATTTGTTCTCGTGGGAAACAAGTCAAACATCTTTTATTTCAGAAAGAAAACAGACATGAAATCGCAAGAGAACGACATTTTTCTGATCGAGAGCAAGTAGAAGTATTATCGACTGAAACTTTTAATATTTCGCACGTCAGGTCTTTGTTTTCTAACAAGCATTCAATGCTTTGATGGTCCTGATGAGAGCATTTACTCTGTAGTGCTGAGTATCAAAAATGAGGAGTTTGTGTAACCTATGAAACATGTGTACTAAGCTAACTATATATTGAAATAAGATGTATATTATGATTGTCTATAAAACAACAATCAACCAGAAGAAGGACAAATACGTTAATAATAAAGTCATGTTGAGCATGTCCCTCAACTGTGAATTCGAAGAATTATTGGTAATGGATAATTCATGTATTAGCCCTCATTCTGTGACAGTGGTGTTACAGCACAACACAAAATCGGGCTGTAAAAATCGGGTGAAAAGGGTTTGGCTAAAATTGAAGTATACTCAGCACAAAAGCAAATAACAAAAACATAAAATACATAAATTATCGATATAAGAGTATTAACAGTTACATTAGTTACTGAGGGCCTAATTTCAACTAAAGAGTAAACCATGGTCTTTCTGAGTAAAATATAATGATCAGATGAAATAAAGTACACATTATGTCATCATGTATATTAAAGCTTGAAAGTACGAATATGCTTTTCATCCTTGATTAGTTCTTAAAATAAACATCAGAAATTGCCATTAAATTTAATTTTGTTCTTGTTTTCTCCAATTAGGGAATTTATTTTGGGGGAATGTCATTTCATTTCCATGTCGTTGTCATGTTTGTTACATTGATTAAACCTTTGCTTTGTAAGTATACATAAAAATTTTATATGCAAATAAATCTATAGTACAATTTCTTTTCGCTTTCAATGTACGTGATATAGCAACACGACAACAAATGATGGTGCATTTATATCTACGTTTTAGAATATTTACAAATTGAGAACTCTTCTAAAATAACGTTGCCATTTTGTTAGCTGTTCAGTTGGATATTTCAGCTATACATGTAAAATCTAATTTTGTTTCTATTTTTAATCAAATATCAAATGAAACATGTTGCTTTCCTAATCAATAGGTCATTAAGGGAAACTTAACATTTAAAATGACAAACATATGCATAATAATGAACATTACAGATGATGATAACAAAAGCAAAATGTGAGAGGAGAGCCAGCTGGGTAAACAAAAAACTCCACTGTAGTATGTATAAAATCGTGTCAGCAAATTGCGTCATTTTGGTAAACTCAAAGGGCGGGTCGCTTAATATTTCGTTATTCTTTATAAAACCTTTTCGTCTTGTTTTTTTGCGAACTTATTTAATTATGTTTCAGGAGTTCCTTAATACCAACAACCTTTACTAAATTTGTTTCTCATATACACTCTTCATGTATTTTTTTTTTATATATATATAAAAACCAGACACAAACAGGGAAGTTCATAAATTTAGTTTTGGATACAATGATAGTGTTTCCTAAGCATATTTCCGTTCCTACATTATAAACTAAAAACATGCATGTACAAAACTAATCGAAATCAGTTAAATTATTACGAACTGGAATGGGTCATTTTAAATCTTTCCCACAAGAATACTTTGTTATTACCTTATGCAACTGCAATCGACACAATTAATATTGAAAAAAAACATGCCGTGTTTCCGCAAAACAAAAAAAAATCATACTTAGTATTCTTATATTAATAACATTAATAGATGAAATAACATCTAAGGTTGAAAATCCCATTTTCATTGTCCTCTTTTAACAATGGACGGACGTGATCAATAATCACAGGACAAATTATATTAAAATCCCACATGGAATACGTCTTTGAAATTGTACTTGAATCAACTCGCATCAATTAACCATAGCACTTTTTTCAGTTGTCAACTGTTTGTTTACCAAACAGCACCTTTGTAGCCATACATTCTCTCTCTCTCTCTCTCTCTCTCTCTCTCTCTCTCTCTCTCTCTCTCTCTCTCTCTGTGTGTTGTCTCCAGCTCAAAGGTGTTTTGTCTATTTATTGCTAATGTAAAATAGTATCATTATATATAAAATATGAGGTAGAATAAATATTCTCTCAAAAACCAAGTTCAATGATATTTAAATATAATTAAGACTTATCGGCATAATTTTTCCGTATTCTTTTTATAAGACAGACATCGATTTATTGGTATACTTATCAATTGATAGATAGATATATTTAAATTATATATGTAGGACTCGGATGTGCGATGGATACGATGAAGTGCGATGGTCACGCTGAAGTGCGATGGTCTACGCCGAAGTGCGGTGGTTCGTTCGCTGTTGTGCGATAGTCTGGTTGACGCTTGGTGTCTAGTCAATAATCTGCAGACATGCACTTATCATAAAAAGTAAATTTTTGAATAGTTAATATTTAAAATTACATTCATTATTGTACATGTTTGTCCTTAATTACAGTTGCGTACTAAATTAGAGATCGTACTCTTCGATTTTCTGCATGTGGACATAATTCTGCATTAGCATTTTATCTATACGTTGTTTTTTCATGAGTTCCTCGTTTACCGTAATATTATAATGAAGAGAGTTTGTCTGCGGACCCGTATGTTGTTAGAGAATGTCACGCTCCATCGTACGTAAAACAGAACCTTTGGTAGATTAAAACAAAATCACAACAGAAGGTTAACTTTCCCCTATATACCAATCCACGCCGTTTCACGTAGTATTAAAAGTTTATAAGCCCCTCATCAACTTAAAACCTTAAAAAATGCCTCAACATACACATTGACTTCTACATCGAAATGAAAAAGCCTTGCAAATGTAGTTTGTGTAGACCATCGCACTTCAGCGTTACCACCATCGCACTTCGGCGTAGCTATCAACAAGATAGCGTAACAATACCACCATCGCACTTCAGTGTGATCACCAACGCACTTCAGCGTCAAGACATCGCACCTCAGCGTGACCATCGCGGTTCGGAGTACCATCGAGGTTCAGAGTCCTACATAAATATCACGCAAAAGAAAAGGAATATATAAACATTTCTACGCTAAAGCAAGTAGGCATGCATTACTGAGAATGAATGGATAAGAAAGAAAAAGATAAAACTGATAAGCACATAGATAATATATTTATTTTTCCACAGTTCAAATTCATTTTTCATTTCTCATCTCTTTATGACTATGACTCATATTATGTTTCAAATTGCAGAAGATAGAAACGTTTGAAAACTCTGCTCTGATTACCCAAAAAGGAATGAAATTCAGACTATAATATTAAAACTAATCGACATTTTCTAAAATAGGACATTTGAACCAGGACAATGAAATATTTTGATTTTTTTATGCGGACAAAGAAAATGATATAAATACTATATCCCAACTGAATCACATCAAACCTAAACAGACCAGGGGAAATGGAAGGTGAGAAAATTAAGACATACATTTAATTATGAAATGTTATAATTGTTTTCGACTATTAGTAACTTAAATTTCAGTCAATTGGTTTTGGAAAATGCGAACGTTTTACATGATTAAGACACTAGCATCTAGTGATAAAAGCTACTTATGACTCAAAGTAGAACATTACGCTGTTGATCATAATATTATGATTTTATCTGATGCTAACATCAATATTATACACTGGAAATATTCGATGTCAAAACAGACCAACAAATAAGAAGCAACCCCTTTCTTTCCATATCAAATAGTCGCCCTTTACCAATATGCTACAGTTTCCCGACATCGTTCTTTTTGAAATTATCTATCTTTTATTTATTTGTAGTAAAACATAA